GTTAATTGCTTAAACAATAAGCGTTATCCAATGTAGAAAAATTCAACGACGCTAACTGGCACATTCTAATTAAAGAAATTTATTGCGAAAAATATTACCTCAGCCAAGGTTTGAACGTGGACTACCCTACATAAATAAACGTTATATTAAATAATATCATTTCTCTGAAAATCGCTATAATTGCATTAACTGATTTTACTGAATTAAATCTTTAAATTTATTTTGTAAGAGAAAATATAATTTTTTACTCTTCAGTGACATAAACGAGAAGTAATATATATGTATATATGCCCATCGAAATTGCACAAGCGGTCCAGTTTCCCGGGCTTTTCTCCTCTGTCCTGTTTGATGAAATTAACGGAACGGCAGAGCAAGGAAGCAGAAGGCAGAAAGGTCGAAAGGGCGCCCTTCCCTTATTTTTATTACTGTCGGACCCGCATTAACGCACCCCTGTTAGCATTACGGGTTGCGGAACCACACCCCAGCATTCATCCCAATGCGAATTTGTACTGTGACGTATTGTAACGAATAGCATAAGAATAATGGAGGTATGCTCGGAATGGAAGCATTTGGCGAAGTTGAAACATGGTCGACTTTTATTTTTACACTATCCATGATAATCGTGCAGCGGTTGCCGCACGTATGGGATCCCTTTGTGAAATTTTGCGACTAATTCTCGTTCAATTTAATACGACGCAGCGTAATAACGCGTACGACGCAGAAACTTGACAATATCAGTTAATAATAACAATAAAGACTTTTATTTTCTCTGCATGTAACATACAGCGAACAATTAATTTAACTCGTAAATATTACATTGGATCTTCCCTCTCATATCTACAAAATGCAGAATAAAATGAAACTGTCAACAAATCGATATATTTACAGTCGCATTATTCGTTCGTACACAGCGTGTGGCTTTCCTTGACATGTAAAGTGCATCAGACTGTTCATGCAGTGATACTACACGAAATGTTTAAAATTAAATTATCGATTGCACAAATATTATTTATGTGTTATAATATATATTAATTATGCCGGTGAAACTTAAAGATAAATAATTAGCAGCTCGGAGAAGCCAATATGGGTCATACATTTAACAGATGAGGACAGTTTGACGCGATCTCTTGCGGATAATGCGGCCTCTGCGGTGCGTCGCTTGCGTTGCAGCAGCAAAATTCCGACGTGGCGTTATTACTTTCGGGTACGCGGGGTAATATAGCGCCGTGACTGCGCGCGAAATGGGAGTCCCATGTCAAAGTTTGTTTGAGTTGGAATCTCGTGAAATTTCGTGGACCAAAATTAACGGATCCTGGCGGTATCATTTCGCGAAGGGCCAGTCTACAATTTCGCCGACGGGAACTTCCGCGTTGCGCTTTTTGACGCTGCTATCAACACGATAAATTCGTAGTTATATTAAATTCGTTTAACAGATATAATACATTGCATTTAGTCATTTTTATACCTAAACTCCCTTAAGATATGTAGAGGGTAGTCCTCTATTATGAGATAGGCTCCTAATACGAGGTAACGGGGCTTCTGCTAAATTAATAGACATCATCTGTTGGTCCCACCATGAATTTATTGGAGCGAAATCTGTTTGGTGGAAAATTGGTCGTTAGATCGTGTAATCGTTGCGAAGAAAGATTGAATTTGAACATTGAAAATCTACTATCTCACATTAGAATCCTATCTCATCATACAGGACTTCCCTCTACTTACATATCCGCGATATTATGACAAGTTAGCTCGCACGGTACAAAATATCAATGAAAAAGTGGTTATACATCTTTATATATGTCATACTTTTTTACAGATTTAATGAGAAAAAATGAGACAGTTCAAACATGGCTGTAAAAAGCAAACATGAACTGTGCGTACAGCTGTTACTTTGATTAATTTATAACTTCTAAATGAATCTCAGTCTCAGTCGCAACTGCAATTTTTTATTTTTCAAATTTCATATCACGTTTGTGATTAATTTTAACTTTAACAAAGTCGACTTCACCTATGGAAAATTTGTGGCTATCGAATAGCCAACAGGTCGTTCTATTTAACAAATAAACTTATAATCTAATTATGTCAGTACGATTAAATTAACGAGTCAGAACCGCATCGACAATTTACGGCGGCACACGTTGCATTTTCAATCCGTTGAAAGATTATCACCTGCGTTTGTTCCGAATTCAAGGTTTCACTTCAAAGTTTTACTTTAAAATAAACGTTATGATACGCACGCGTGTATTTTCTTTGTTTATCCACGACAATTATCCCACGCATGGATTGCATTACTGGACGCTTATCAATGCCCAGACGATGCAACCGAACGCAAAGATTGGTTCAATTTGTCTATGCATATGCACCATCGTCGTTATGGAAATGAGTCGCGACTAATCACGGGCATTGGCAATGGTTGCGACGTCGACGACTGTTAATCAGTCAAACGCGAGCGTGAGCAACTTGCGCGGGACGCTAATGAGAACGTAATAACTTGCAGGCAAATCCCGAAATTATCTATTCCATAAATTGTCGCACGGGTTCCTGCTACATTGCCACTGATTACTTAACGCGAATGTAACTGTATAATTACTTGGCGTTATTTCTGAATCAGTCTATAGAATCCGTAGTCTCAACAGGAAGAAAAATTATTTAACGACTTTACACTGGCTGGGTGGTTTAATTTAACAATTTATTCCAACGTTTCGACCATCCGGATTGTGGTCCTTTTCAAGGAAATATCTACAATTTGGAGAAACTTATTACTCTGGGAAAAAACGACAGCAACCCATTTTGGGGCCCACAATTAGTAATCGAATTATTTGGATTGTTCGTAACTCTAATCTTTTACGAATTTTACCCCGCGTAACTAAAAATCGCAATTAGCTATTCTATCTATATCCAAGATTTTTAAGTAATGCTAATCAATTCTCTCAATTAGTTCCGTCGACATTCAGTAACGCAAAGATAATTTTCACTTAAGAGGCACTAACCGAGATGTTAAGTTGCTTAACTACAAACAAAAAACGGTCAAAATTTTTCCCAGAGTGGCGTTGCGAACTATCCAAATAATTCGATTGCTAATTGTGGGCCCTAAAATGGGTAGCTTAACTGTCTTTTTTCCCCAGAGTATTTATAAGCCGTTCGTATAACAATTGGCAGTATAGCCACCGAGAATGGGATTCACAAGTCTACACTTACATATATTAGTTAAAGATTACATTGTAAAGAAGATGTCATCCGTCTCTGAGTATCGGTCGGAGAAAACTGTGTTTGAAGGCACGTCCATTCGATACAACAGCCACAGTAGGACTACGGTCAGGGACGTTACATCGAAAAGACACAGTGAATACGAAACGATAAATAAAGAAAATCAAACACTAGAAATATGATCGAAGTCAAAATTAAAGGTAATCGAATAAATAAGACGTCAAGAAAAAGAACACTAAAGTAACGTCAAAATTATAAAATAAAAAGAAGGAAGAAAGTAAAATAGGGTGTCAAAAATTATAAAATAAATTAAAATAAAAAGAAGGATAAATGTAAAATAAGATGTCAAGTGCTTCTTGTTAGGCCGTCGTATATCGCGTTTAATAATTTGAAGTATGTGTATTTACTCTTAGATTATATTTATTCTATTGTAATAGATGTTACTTTATTCCAATTCACGTGCCAAACAAATTTAGTCAGATTTTATCGTGTTTTTAAACAAAATATTATGTTATGAATCAAATTGCAAACAAGTCTGTTTGTGTGTTTTGCAATATGAATATTAATATTGCAATTTCTAATTAGAAATGCATATAGTATAATTTAATGCAATATGTAGTTATGGAATAGCGATATGAACTTTATTTGGTATTTTATTGCAGAATGTGTGAATTATATATAATATTTTATATGTCATTACTAATTTATTATACTTTTCTCAAGGATACTTAATTAAAGTTTAATGCACAGTAAATACGTTGACAAAACATCTTAACAGCGAAATTATTGCGTCTATATTACAATAAAAAATAACGGAGAATGTAATAACAAGAGTTTTTTTATTATTTCGCACATTCAATGGACAAATAGATAAATAAATATATTATTGTGAAATATTCCGGCATCCTCTTTCCAAGCGCGACACGAATAAAACCAGCAAGAGTCTCTTTGTTCCCATAAATATTCAAAGCAGGATAATATTTGCTCGAGCACGTTTAATGTAAAGTGCAAGTAAACACGCAACTTTTGTAAAACAATATTCGTCGCGAACCGTCAGTGCCGTTATCGCTGCGAGGCAGATCCCCCTTTTAAAGAAGTGTAAAAACGAAGGGGAGGAAGAAATAAAGATGTCAAAGCATTTAGAAAGCGGCGCGTTTTAAGAAGACGCGTTTATCTTAGGGATCGAAGTGCAGAGTGCTCCGGCTTTTACAGTCATTAAGCAGTCCTTGTTGAATATTTAATGAGTATACATTACTCGGCGCCGCATCACACCATCGGGCTTCAAGTGATGCGCCAGCGAACGCATGCCGGAAATTCTAAAATTAAAATGCAGGAAACATGTTGATGCGTTTAATTAAAATTTCTTATTTTTGTGTTGCGGACAAGCGCTGCGGCAAATTAATTTTTGCCAAAAGTACGTTATAGCACAATCCAGTAATAGAAACAAAACTTTTCCGCATAAGAGAAAAATTAGGGGAAATTAAAACTGCGATAGATATTTCAACAGTAGTCCTGCAAAACAAATCATCTTATTAAACTAACAGGAAATAAATTATTGCGATCCTGTCAATACATTTTGCAATAAAATACTATACAATATTAAAAATTTCGATTGGTACATTTAAAACAGTATATAATAATGGCCAAAGTTTGTAGAATTATTAAAACTTCTCTTAAATTAAATTAAGTTCTAACCAAGGAAGTGTATTAAAATATTATAATACCTACTTAATATTTTCCGTACTCGATGTGTGATGCTATACTAACCGGGTTTTATCTTTTTTATGTTGCAGGTGAGTTTCGAAGCTTATTGGTCGTATGAAGAATACTCGTTGCGACTGACCCGGGCCCCCAGAAAGTAAGTGGGATAAAAAAGGCGAGCGTGGCTTCTGGCAGCCAAGCTTGGCTCTTACGTTGCAAGTGTTCAACTTACGTAGCTGAAGTTCATACAACTTTTGCAACGATCGAATCTCTAGCGAGAAAACGAGACTATTAGAGAGAAGTAGAATAATTTATTTAATTCCACTGGGGCCTCCCGTACAACGGGCCTCCGTAAGCGCTGCCCTAAAATTCAATGAACATATACAGTTTATCGGAAAAAGAGGAAAAAAGAGGGAGAGAGTTGTAATTTTTGAAAATATTTTATCGAAATAATTGATAGAAATAATCATACTTTTACAAAGCTTATTTTACATTTATTGTATTTAATAAATAATTAAAACATAAACAAATAAAAATAATTTTTTACATTTTCTATATTAAAGGAAATCCTAGCTTTTCCACTTAGAATTGGCGGGGGATTTTAACATAAGAATACATTATTTCCGTTTTAGTTAAAATGGGCTTTGTGTAATGCCACCAGTTCAGCGTACGTGCTCGAAATTATGAATTGCAACTTCCCATTCGAAATGTAAATCATATCAAATATAACTAAACGCTTATCAGAAATACGTGTATCGCATTCGAATGCCACTCCAGGCAATTTAAATTTTTTTTTAAAGCACGATTATTGATGCGGAACACATATCCACCACAAAAGATATTGTTGCAATTTTTGTTTTTTACGTTATCAAAATTCGTCTTTCTAAAAAATTGTTTACTCCTCATGAGGGATTATCGTTGTAAGAATATTGCTAAATGGACCGAATAAAAGAAGATAGGACAGTGAAAAAGCTAAAGCGATCCAGAAAGTCGAAGTTACCAGAAGCGCACTTTCGCATCCGATCGTTTTACATAAAGTTTCCGCTCTCCGTTCGGAGTAGATATTGCACGATGCACATTTGCTCAGCGCCATTTATGAAATTGTATTAAGACAGCTTTGCCATATGGTGGCACTGGAAATAAATGGCAGTAGCTACTAATACCATGGTCGTTTTCGGGGTTTAAATGAAACTATCTAGTGAGGGTAGTTATTTTGACTTGTGTGCATATGCGTGCTATTAGAAATTCTGCTTCTGCTCTCGAGATACTTTGCAAATATAAAGTTTGTTTTTACTAAATACAATATTTCTCCGTAATATTTTAGAAAAACAGAGAGAGAGAAATATATCTGAAAAAAATGCAATTAATTCTTATTTAATTGAAAATTCTTTTAAAATCTATTTTAATATGTAAAGGTTTGTAATCTGCTTTCTTAAAATTAAGCTTATGGAAATTTCTAATTTTATAATTCAAAACCATTGATAGACATTCGCGTTTGTAAAAGGTAACCACAACTTGTTCAACGAATCCGTAGATAGAAGCGAGATTTTCAGGCTATTCTCTTTACTTAAAATCTACTTCGTCAAAATTTGGGATAATGAAAACTTATGTATGTGTTTTCTAAGAAGGCTTAGCGATACCGTTTCCAACGCGTAAATAAACTATCGGTCCGCGTGGCATTACGACGAGAATACATGCCAATGGGTGAATGAGCAATATCACGATGATCGCCAAGTCCTCGCGCGTACATTCCCGTCCTCGTAAATTCTAGGCCGGTTTTAACGGCCGCGCGTTTACGGCGTTCGGTGAACAAAGAGCCGACGGTGACGACGACAGCGTCGACGACGTCCGTTCACGGCGGGAGCGGCACTGCGCTTTGCGCGGCTCCATAAAGCATTGTCAGCGGCAAGATCCTGGTCTTGACTAAAGTGAATATGTCGCTGACAAGGACGTACGGTCGCGTTATAGTCGGAGAAGGCGACGAGAAGCGGGATCCACATGCTAGTCACGATCCGCGTAGCTCGCTCGATTTTTCATCGTGGGCTGCACTTGAATTATTGTTGCTTGCTTGGTGCATCTTCTTCCGTTTGTTTACCCCGCTCTAAGCAAGACGCAAATTAAGAGCCGAGTATTAATTAAGATTAACTCGAAGAAATGTCAATTAATCCGGGAAGACGACGCGACGTAACATCCTTTCGCGCGTTCTTGACAAAACGCCCTACAGCCGATCGCGCTTTTGATTTCTCGCCTTTGTTTTATTCATACTTAATCCATGAGTCTACGGCGCGTGTTGCTCCGTGAGAGAGGAGCGTCGAGTTGTTTCTAAATTTTCGATAAGTCGTGTCTGGCTCAGCTACAGTTTCAGAGGGATTCCGATGCTGCACACGCGGTTGCATTTTTCATGCATTCCCGGCTGCATGCAGGTGTGAGAGCCATGCGTCAGTGCTTGACAAGTGGTTTTTGCGCGCTGTCTGTCACGTGAAAGTGTCCGGGATGTCATCCTAAGAGAAGGGGTGACACTTTAGATGGAACGGCCGCCGTACGGTAAAGGGAGACGTATACCTCGCGTCTCGTCTCGCAGGTAACGAAGCCTGTGTCAAACTCTCGTCCCACCCCCCTTTTTCTCGATTCGATCTACGTCAGAGCGAACGATGAACCCTGTCCTTAGCTTAGAACCCGGCGAAACTTTATTCAAATCACTTGTCTCACGCTAGACTTTAATCTAATATTGTTCGTATACTTGAAACAAGGGGTAAACCGCTGACAAAAATTATATACACCAACGCCTACTAATGCCCAGTGGGCATTGCTTTATTTTGTTATCTTATTTATCTTTAGCTTTATCTATAACAGATTATCTATGGCAGATATATTTATCTATAGCAGAAAAATAAAACGCGAAGATGTCAGTAATACTGTTTATTGCGACAAATATTACCACATGCCTCGGCGGTCGAATTGGTGAGACGCCCGCCTAGAGTGTAGGGAGGTCCAGGTTCAAGCCCTGGCTGAGGTAATATTTTTCGCAATGCATTTCTTTAATTAGAATTTCCCAGCCATGGGTCGTCATGCAATTTTCTACATTGGCTAATCAATTACTGGCGTTAAGTAATTCTTTGCCTTATTTATCTTGTTTTATCTTGCTTTATAATGCTCCAGCAAGGCCTAATGCCCAAACTAATGCCCAAAAATTGCCTATTACCTAATGCCCGGTAACGCTGCAAATCTGTACACCACAATGCCCTCAGCGGTTTACCCCTCGACTTGAAATAAGCGCTGAGCTTGTAGTTCATCAACATGTACTTTTCGGCTATTATCTCCCTGAGGTGCACTACTCTTTACGAGGAGTGAGATCAATAAAAATTTCTTCAGGAGTTAAGCCAACGGCACACGACACGATTTTTCCCTAATGGATTGCTTACGAGAACCAATCAGGATTTAGCCAGGATTAGCCTACAATTGCAGTGCGATGTTGTGTGATTTCTAACATTAACAATTGGTTGATACCATTATTATACATAATTTTTCACCGCTTTCAACTGGGTGTTGGCTCACGTTGCTTATAGGTTTTTTTCTCAACGACCAACATTGTTTTCCGTAATTTAAGTTATTTAGCTTTAAGTCAGCCTGGATTTAGAACTCTGCATCCTGATTGACTCTCGTAAGCAATCCAGTAGAAATAATCGCTTGTGGCTTTAGCTAGTATGCCAAAAAATTGATCTGCGTTTTCCTGCTCTAACATATCTGAATGTTTCTCCACGTTATGTTTTATGTACGCTTATCTCTCTCCTCGGTGTGTAAACTGCTTAGGTATTATATCGCTTATTTAACAATGGGCATTATTAAAGTGTACATAAATATTAAATGTCTATTACGATACTAATACGCGTTACAATTACGATAATAATATGCGGAGAATACCTACTACCCGTTAAAAGCGAAAGGATTAAAGGACTGATCCTGTAGCAAGCCCGCATGACTAATATCCGCGAATTCGACTCGCGTCGGTGCAATTATCACATCGATAATCTGGATAATTGCGTATCAATAATCTCGAACTGTTGCATGTCGCTGCGAACGCGCGGTCCGTTTTAATGCGGTTAACGATTGTTTTAACACAAGCGCAGCGACATCGCACCCGCGCGCTCTGGCCAAGCGACTGCGAAATCTACGAAATCGCTTGCCTTGCGCACGGTAAATCCAGTTTCGCGTGGCGCTCGAGCACAGTTGTGCAGCTGATTCGCTCGACATATTTCCAAAAAGGAAAAAAAAATATTGGAAAAAGAGGGAACTAGCCAATCGATTTGTTACCGTTCACGCGAGTGGAAATCCCGTTTCATTCAATTGGTGTACTGCATACGAGCCGGATCCGAAATGGAACGTCGACAGGGATGAAATCTGATTCTACACGAACGACATTTTTGCGGATCGAGTAAATGACGCGCGACGAATGGTTTAGACAATCCCGTTCTGGGAGATTTAAGATCGATCCGATGTATATGCGCCAATCTCTCATTGATAGGACATAGCACGGCTCTTGGGACATTCGGTATAATAACTTTAAGTTCCGATCCGCCGCGTGTAACTGCTATGAATCTAGAATTTGCAATTTAAATGCGTGTATTCCACTTGCATCTCGCACCACCGCTCACCATAAATCATCGTTCATCATTTACTATTGCAGCCACGTATAACTGGCAGTTACCGTTTATCTCTATCAGGTCAATTTCTTTACGTGTCTCCTAACGTTTAAAACGAGAGATTTCAATTATTATCTGACCGAATATTTAAATCACTGCGAGTTTTTATGCGATTGAGTGAGAGAGAGAGAGAGAGAGAGAGAGAGAGAGAGAGAGATTACGAGTACGAGTATATTATAATGAGTACTTACGTACTCTAATTTTGTTTCTTTCTTAATTTTTATTATTTTTTAAAATTGTTTATTATTATATCGCTTATTTAATAATAATATGAATCGTTTGAGTGGGTCTGAAAATTCTGCTCCTGCACAAAGTGAGACGCAGCATGAACTTGGCGCCTTTGTGATCCGGATTGATTTTTTGCTTTAACAACCGGAACTATTTGTTCCACTCACAGCGAACTCTAGAACTATTAAAAATAAAGCTAGCACTCTCACCAATTGATGAGCGCTTCCAAGAAATAAGACGCCAGGCTTACGCACACTCAGTTTGACATTCTGGATTCAATGTAGAATCTAAAATTTCTAATGTTACCGTAATACTTACAATTAGAAAAGCTTACAAAAAGCACAAAAGTGTGAAGAAATCTTTCTGCTTCTTATCCTGCTCGTCTTCTCCCATTTTCTCGATCTCTTTCAACTTTTGTGCCTGCTTGTCTCGCCTTCGACGACCATCGCAGCCCTTATCAGCTCTTCCACAGCGTTGAGAAGGACGATAACCGAGATCGACTTTTTAATTACCTATCTTCGTGTTCCAGTTTCGTACTTTCGCGAAGTTTTCTTCTCAGCGCAGCCGAGAACGTCGTCGGGTTCTCATTGCCGCTGACAATAAATCTCACGGTTGTGATGGCATAGAATTTTTCGGGCGAACCTTAAACTCTCATTATCCCATTTCTCTTATTCTAATTCACGTGTTTGATAAGATCACTATTCCGCAAGAATAAATACATATTCGGCAAATTAATGTACAGTAAAAGTAATAATACATTCTTCGTTTAACAATTTAACAATTTACATAATGACACGAGACATACGAAGCGTGAATTGTTTTCTCAAAATCATATATCGTGAACTTATGACAGTTATTACTTATTATTTCTGTTTAATTTTTTAACTTGTAGCATTGGATAAATAATATAATATAATTTTATTATACGTATAAAAATCGACTAACTTAATCTTATAAAAATGTCATTAGTAAAAACCGACACAAATAAACCTAATTGTAGGAGTTAACACAAATAGTGAAAATTAATAGTTCCTGACTTTATGTGAAATCGAGATTTATCTCATTACGATAATCGTGATTTATCGAGCGATAATATTGCATGTCATTAGTTCTTGGAAAATGCATTCCCATTAATCGATAAAATGTTCGATTCCCGCATGACAATCGCTGATACAATTATTTTACTAAATAAACGGTATACATACTACTAACAAGTGTGACAATTATTAAAGTATTTTAATACAAATCCAAGAACATACTTTAATACTTTAATATGGTATTAAAGTATTAAGGTTTTTTTTTAAACCATGCACACAGTAGTTTATTTATACATTATTTTATTTACACACGTGAAATCCTGGCTATTTCGAAATAATTTATTTAAAGGAATAATAATTTATTTCAAGGAATAATAA